ACTCTTAGGAAGAACTATGTAAAAAATTATTTAATAGCATAGGAGGCTCAGTTGCTATGCAGTTCGCATAGCCGCCTGCAATTCATAGGTTATGAGCCTGCCCAAGCTGTCTAATTCATGGATATAATTATTTAAACTTTTTTTTTGAAAGTCACTCTGTAGATTTATAGTTTTTTGACTGAAGTTTCAAATTCACCATTTGAAATCAAGCCACAATGGGAGATTGGATGTAGTTCATTCAATAGCAGTTATAGAATATAACACTGCTGGCCCTTTGATGTGATGATGGTGGTGGTGATGGTGATATTGATAGCATTAGCAAAAGAACTCTTTTGCTAATAATTCCTTCTCACTTATTTATAAGGGATGGGATAAGACACATTTAACTCTGCCTGCTTGCTTCTAGGGCGAGTCTGGTATAGTGTTCTGAGTGATGGACTATGACACTGGAGATCATGGTTCAATTCCCCACTCAGTTATAGAAGCCCACTGGGCGACCTTGGGCACGTCACACATACTCAGCCTCAGAAAACCCTGTGATGGGTTTGCCTTTATGTCACCATGAGTCAGAAATGACTTGAAGGCACACAACAACAACTTGCTTCTCACCAGAAGGTAGATACAGAACAGAGTGGAGGGTGAGCCCTGGCATCACAACTGGGAAGGAAGGAAGGAAAGAGGAAACTATCTAAGTAAATACATAAACTCCCTGAAGAGCCTTTGTGAACTGCAGCAACCAATCAGCAAAATCTTGCAAACTGTATAAAGGTGTTGATTTACTAAGTCAGCTGGAGATTTGCACCCAGCTCTTTCTCTGAGCTGGTCCCCTCTGCTGCCACCAATCCTGGAGAATTTTCACATTTATCTCCCAGCCACCTGGAGATTACCCATGAAAACTGGAGACTCTGGGCCATGTCCTGAGATCTGGCTACCCTATTTCCCCACTCCTAGTCACTAAATTGGTCAGGATGTCTATACCAGTGCCATAAAGCTGCATTACACTACCAGTTAATCGGGAGGCTCAGTGCTGGTGGAACTTTACTGTTTGCCAATAGGACTTTTCCTGTTCATAAAGGAATGATGGAAGCAAAGGACAGTTTAAATGGTCTCAGTATTGTCTAGTCTTGGACCTCACCAAGCCTACGTTGTGGCCAGGCTGTGTCCCACTCCCACTACCTTTCCAAACATTCTTTTCTTTTTCCTTTCCAAAGAAATATATTTCTCTGGACCTGAAGAATCCCCTCAAGCAAATGGCCAGGCACACAGGCACAGAGGATGGATGGGGAGAAGGAGGCGTCATTAAAGATGCCAAATGATTGCAGTGAGCTTTGAAATACTGCAGGGAACTCATCAAAGCTGGCTATAAATACACTTTAAAATTACCATAAGCTGTCTGCAGCTGGAGCAGAGAAACCTCAGGCAAATGGTCACTCTTTCGCACAGGCTGATCTCATATATCTCCCTTCCTTTATGGGGGAAACTGTATATTGTTTCAAGGCCCATGGCTCATCATAACTTCCTGTGGTATTTCCCTAGCCAGTGAGCCATTAGCACCAGTCATTTCCCTTGAGTATATAAGACCAAAATCCAGATCTGGGGAAAATTATTTTTTTGGACTACAACTTCCCACACACCCAGCCACCCACCCACTCCCAGCCAGCCAGCCAGCCAGCCAGTATATGACCATGCTAACTACAGAAATTCTGGGAGCTGTAGTTCAAAAAAGTAATGTTTCTCACCCTTTGGCATGAGCTGGCTTTTCTGAGCTGAACTCAGAAAAGGATCCTGGCCAGAGGTGTCAAAGGGTGGTGGTGGTGTGGGGAATGCAGATCCCACCAGGTGACAACCCAGTGGGGGAATGTGAACACCTGAGGATTGGTGTAGTTACTAGGTTAGGAAGAAAGGGAGTCATTTGCACAGCAGCCATAACAGACCCTGAATGGATCCTCCAGAGGCTGCAGTGTTACCCCTGTCAGAAGCAGCCATGCCGGAATTGGAAGGCCTCTGCTGGGGCCCCCAGTGCCTTCAGAGTCTGGCATGGCTGCTGGGTGAGCAGCTATGCTGGACCCTGAACAGGCACTTGGGAGGCCATAGTACCACCCACCTCAGCAGCAGCATGGGTGGGCGAGTGCCCAGCCTGGTAGAGAGGATAGAACAGTCCTCTGCCCCTGCCCTGCACCGGGTGACACCAGCTGCAGCAATGCTACTGATCTTGGAGACAGTGCAATTTTAGATCATGGAAATCAACAAAAACAGTGAAAGGGGAGGGTGGATTACATCATGAACAGGCACCCACCCCACACTACCAGAGCTTGGTAAAGTTACTTTTTGTGGATTTAAACTGAAGATGTGAGTCCCCAACAGAATGCCAGATGAAGTATTTTATAGGTTAACTATGCGCCATGTTGGGCAGAAATCCCAGACAATGCCTATTTGGCTTATGGAATTTTCTGCCACTAAGTTATATGACTTTTAAAGAGGATGAAATAAATACATGGAGAATGAGACTCATATGGTCTTTCAGATATTGCTGGACTCCAGCTCTAATCAAGCCCCATCACTGCCTATGTTAGGTAGCGCTGATGGAGTCATGATAGCTAAACAGAGGCTTCATGTTTCAAAGCAGTTGTTGTTGTTGTTCTGTATTCCTACAATTGATATACTCATATATTCCTTAGTAGAAAGAATATAAGAAGGAATATAGGAATAAGAAGGAATATAGAAGGAAGTAGAGCCAGCATGGTGTCCTCCCCACTTGCTGCTTATGTGAGTTTTTTTTTTTTTTTTTTTGCCTCCCACTGTTGGGCCCTTGTATCATTTGCCTTGTGCCCTCTATAAAACTTTGACTATTATCTCCAGCCCATGATGTACTCCTGCCTTCCAAGATACCTTCCAAGATACTGTCCCCCTCCCCAACATGACTCAGTTTAAAGCCTTCCTGATCAAATCTTTGAGACTATTGGCAAAAATGCTTCTGCCAAGTGATGTGAGATGCAGCCCATCTCTTGCTAGAAGTCCACCCTCATGGAACCGCAGCCCATGACCCAAGAATCCAAATCATTCTTGGCGGCACCATCTACAGAGCCAGTTATTCACATCTGCTATCTTCCTCTCCCTTCCTGGACCATGCCCTTCAACTGGGAGAAGAGATGAGATAACAACTGTGCATCCAACTCTTTCAGCTTCCTACCCAAAGCCTTATAATTCCTTCTGATAATTATTAAGACTATGCCTTGTAGTATCATTGGTTCCCACATGGACCAAGAGGAAGGGGTAATGGTCAGCAGGCTTGACAAGTCTTGTCAGCCTCACGGATTTTTGCCCCAGGGAGACAACACACTTCCCGGGACATCTTGTCAGGTCCACAAACTGCTGCTTCTGTACAAGGAGTCCTCCCCCACCACTACATGCCTCCTCCAAGACCTTCTCAGACTGACCTCTATCCTAACCTGAACTAACTGCCCATCTAATCTAGCTCCCCTAGACATTGCCACTGTCATTAACTGTTTTTAATTGTTGTTTAGTTATAGGGATTTTATTGTTGCAATTTTCTATCAAGAGGAGGGTGGGTCAAAGAGGGTTGGAGATTATTTTCTTTTTATTATTTTTGTAATTGTTTTAATCTTTGCTGTTGCCTACCTCGATCCTCAAAAGGGAGAGGCGGGATACAAATAATAATAATAATAATAATAATAATAATAATAAGCAGTGGCTGTTCCCTGCGATGGCACTCTTAGAGTCCCCTGCACTGTCCCTGAGGACTGTCCCTGCTGTTCTTCCTCTTTAGCCTTGATAAGGGAGAGAACTTCAAATCGGTTCTGTAGCTGCAAGCTCCCAGAATGATTCCTGGTTTCCTTACTTCTGTGTGTGACATTTCTCCAGGTGTCCACCTCCTGTGTGCATG